AAACAATCAAACTCTAATGAACGTTTTTCGCGTTTCCGAGGCTGGATTCGAAAAGAATGACCTCTAATTGTACGGTTCATCCGTTAAACAAACCAATCAACAATGCCCTTCAAAACTTTTCCGATATCCTTGTGACGTCATTATCGCCATTTTTTCAATTTTAAATTTTACGATCGATGCTTTATATGCATATTCGTATGTAGTTTAATCGGAACAATATTTCCTAAAGGGTTTTAGACCGTTCTATTAATGCTATAAATTTTAGTCGGAAATTGCCACGGCGTCAAGGTATGTTGGGTTTGAGTTCCATTACAGTATTTACTTAGCAATAGAGTGAGTAGTATATTTATTTCCTGATAAACTAAATCTCGTCGTTTTTATGTAATGATAGTTGCTTTTTGTTTGTGTGTTTATTTGTTTATTTAAATTTAAATTTGTTTGTAAATATAACCTCTTATTCATTCGATAGATGGTTGTGTGTATAGTATTAAGTTAGGTTTATCACATGATTTTTTTTCCCGTTTTCTGTATTTTTCTAYATTTTCTTCAATATTTGATTACAAACCTTAAACATTGTAAAATTTGACAATATTTGTGATTTATATTAAAGAAGTTACTGACCCTGAGAATAAAAAAAACTAAAGCCGATAGATTAGGACTCAGTGATATTATTTCTTTAGTTCGTATACCAAATTTCACCATAAGACTGTCCAGGTCACTCAAATGACCAGACAATTTACAGGAACGATTGAAAAGACATTTTCTGGGAATTTTCACTGGCAATCGAGACGATCTGACTGAAGCAACCGTTCAAATAGCGCACAGATCTAAAACGCTAAAGGTCGCTGTTATCCGTATTGAATACTGCAATACCAAACAACATAAATGACGTATTTCTAAGTTGTTTTGGGTTAAGGACCAACAAGTTTAATTCCAGGATATTATATGTTCATCAAATTATCATAGTGTGGGGATATTTCGCGAAATATTTTCCTATTTTAACTATTAAATTTGCTTTGTATACAGGTCTCTTGCGAACCAGTATATTTCACAATAAATGATCAACTGGCTTCAGTGCTATTCTTGTGTCTACGCGGATCGGTTGCTGATTATTCAACACTATCAGAAGCAGCATCGTTGACTGGCACAATGAACCTGGGACCAAACGAGATTTTCATGATAGAGTTTTTCTCTTTAATGTTCAACATTGTAGTGACATTGCTTTGTCTTTTACACCTGATGTTTTACGATTACCCATTCCTCTCCAACGATATAGATGTAGAGTGAATGATTGTTAAGTCTATGTTTTACCTAAAACTGAATAAAGTATTAAAATGTGTAATTTTCGATTTTTGCCGCATTTTAACGCGTGACCGCTGCCTCATATATTTCAACTGCAGGCTCATTAATTCTCTCCCAGACCCCTCTCCGAAAAAAAAACAAGATGGCGGACGAAACGTAATAATAGGTTTCTTTACACAAATTCATTAATATTAGCCCTTAGGACGCCCTAAATATGGATTTACCAGATAAAAATGAAACCTACAAACTTAAAGAATATTGGGATGAGCGTTACTCCAAAGAAGACAGCTTTGAATGGTGCAAAAGCTACGGTGATTTCAAACAATTGTTGTCTGAAAATATCAACAAAGGCGACAGAATTTTGATGTTAGGATGTGGAAATAGCTCATTGAGCGAAGACATGTACCGTGATGGATATATAAACATTGTAAATATAGACTTTTCGCCAGTAGTGATTGAAAATATGAGRAAAAAATGTCAAGACATGATTGACATGGAATGGCGAATCATGGACATCACCAAGATGTCCTTCACTTCGAGTTCTTTTGATGTTGTTATTGAGAAAGCCACGCTAGATGCACTTTTAGTTGAAGAAAAAGATAGTTGGAATCCATCTAAAGAAGCTCGGGATTGCATGAATTGTGTTCTCTCTCAGGTAAATCTCAAAAGAAAGCTCGATGTCCAATTCTAACGTTGAGCTTTGACCTTCTAGTCTTTAGAGTCTTGTTTGTCAAATTGCCTTCCAGTCACCTGTGGTAGTTCCACCACTAATATACATCTATTCCTTATTTAATTTCTATTGCTATTATTGTTGTTGTTGTCAATGCTTTGCTTTATCTAAGCTCGATCTAAGCACGAAAATATGCTTAACAAAATGCATTTTAGTGGATGACATTTATCAAGGCCATCATTCAAATTATCTTCTAAGATCGAATATTTTCAGTAATATTTGATGATTTCATTGTCAGGTTTCCCACATCCTAAAAGATGGTGGTCGATTTATTTCTGTGACATTCTCCCAGCCACATTTCAGAAAGCCTTTCCTTGCCAAGTCAGAGTATAATTGGTCCATAAGAATGCATACATTTGGTGACTCCTTTCATTTTTTCTTCTATGTAATGGAAAAGGGTAAAGAACTTAGCAAAGAAGATAAAGCTTTAGAAAGTACTACTAAGAATAAAGACAATTGTATCAATAAAATTCATGACTTGAATGGTGAAATTTCAGAGGATGAAGAAGATTTTTTATTGAACATGACATTATGACATGCACTGGAGATTATTTTGATAAATAGATTATTGTGATCATCTCCTGAACATGTTTGTGTCCAATAAAAGCTTGAGAATTGATCAACACAGTATCATTCATCTCCATTCACACAAACAATATGCTACCAAAGGACAAGTTTGAAACTCTAGTTCCCTCTCTGTTTCCATTTGTAAAATRTATGACAAACACATCAGCAATAAAAGGTTTAATGAAAATATAAAGTGTAATTCAAGTTGTATTACATGATGTTGTGTTCATTAAAAAGCAGAACATTTTGAACTACTTAAGAGATCTTCTTCTGAGATCTTTGCATTTTGGATGCGAGGTTCAACAGTTGATGATCTCCTTAGTTGACTTASATTGAATCTGAGAAGTATGTAGCAATTCCAAGCTTTTATCCAAGTGAGCAATCCAGTCTCAAGCCAATTTGTACGAATAGTTTTAGTCAGACATGATTTAATAAACACTTGTTAATAACTGTTTATAAAGTGGCTTCATCTTCTGAYACTTCAAAAGGTGTTTGTACATCAATGGTTCCAACTTTAGTAATTCTAACAGTCTGTAAAGGTCTATCTACACTGTTGGTTGGGGTATTTCCAATCTTTTTAACCACATCCTGGAAAGAGAGAATGAAGCTTGCAGTTTTGCATTTTTCCTATTTCRTGAAGCAGTCTAGTAGCTTGATAACTCAAGGTTGAAAAATTCATACGATTAAACGTTTCATTTCATTTTACTCTTGGTAGTTTCTGGGAAATGAAGCTCCTTCCCAAATCCTTATTCTAGAGGTGGGGGGGGGGGGGGGGGGGGGGGGGGGGGGGGGGAGGATCATTGGCAACACACACATTGGCCAGAGCCTTTAGTGATTTAGACTGACTAGAAACAAAGTACCATATGCTGTATAGTGACTGACTTACCATGCCACGAAGGACTTTCCCAAAGCACGTATGACTTCCATCTAGCCAGTGGGTGGGGACAAGGGTGATGTAGAACTGAGAACCATTMGTATTAGGACCAGCGTTAGCCATACATAACCATCCAGCACCATTATGCTTAACTTTAAAGTTTTCGTCATCGAAGAATTCACCGTAGATGCTCTTTCCTGAAAAAGAACGCGAAAATTTTCGCCTGGAATCTATAGGATTTGTGATATGATTAACTTAGGCGTATTTTATCAGAAAAGTGCACTTATAAATCTTGCCGGTGCATCTCACCTCCAGTTCCATCAAATTTGTCAAAGTCACCTCCTTGAATCATAAAGTTCTTGATCACACGATGGAAGATTGAGCCTTTGTACCCAAAACCAGGCTAAAGTACAGAAGAAAAAATCAAAACATTATTACTGAAATAGAAACGCCTTCTTTATTATGTATCAATATAATCGCTGTTAATATAGGTCGAGCGCAATGCGTTGTATGGTGAGAAAATTTATTGTGCAAAAGGGGCGGTATATATTACATGTCTGTTTTTAAAGAGGGACAAATTACTGTAGTGCAAATTCTACTGAATGTTCCCGCACAAACCTGCGCTAAACACGAAATGTTGGCAATATTACTGATTAAATGATAGTTTGGATATTATTATTAGTAGCAAGTTATTTCGTTTGATAAAAAGTCTTCTAAAACTAAGCTCTATATTTATATAGAATGGATTAATCAAGCTGGTACTAAACGCCATGACATTTAGTCAAGAGATTTTTTCACTGAAAAAACCTCCCTATATATCAATATTGGAATGAGGAATGCTAATTAGCGATRAAAAAACTATAGTCTTYACTTGCCTCCATGTCGGCTAGAGCTACGAAATTTGTGACGGTTTTTGGTGCGGTATCTCCAAATACACCAAGAACAATCCTTCCTGCGGGTTGGTCACCGATTGAAATATCCATATAGACCTCCTTGGTTACCGTCGTGTCAGAACCAGCATTAACGGCGACTAAATAGCCAGCAAGTAACGCGAAAAGACAAGAAATCATAGTGGAATTTCACTATTCTAATATCAAATCAATAGCTAGAATTTATTAATTGGGTAACGCTAAGTTGCTGTTCAAGAAATCAAACTTTAATGACACGTGTTGTTTTCTGAAAGGTTGTRAGGTACCTGCCTGTTTACCGCGTCGTCATGACAACGTGGYCATTACCTGCACAGGTCAAGAAGSTAGTRGTTTCACATCTTCACAAGTACTGTAATTTGTGATACTCTGAAATACATCATGCCCAGGCTGAAAGAACAKACTACGAGTTTGGTAATTTWCGATCTGRCACGGCATTGTTGCAGGGTTCAGAGAACAGAAGTATAAAAAAACGGAAATATTCTTCTTTTCTCGGGGTCACTGCGCAGTCTAGAGTGCATACACCACAGAGATTGCTACTTTACTAGAGAAAACAGTAAAATAGAGAAAACAGTAAAAAGCACAAATTATACAGGAGTAGTTTGAAGAGCACGTCATTGTGGCTTCAGCGAGCTTGAGCCTCTAAGTACGTACTACCTACAAAGTTGGTGCACAAATTAAAGGGTGTGGTATACCCCACTTCCTTACATTGACTGACATCCTTATGACGTGTTTGCAAACAAACTACATTAGCTTAGTTTGTCACAATGGCAGACATTTTCGTTTTGTACAGCTATATTATCACCATGATTGTGTGTGACATAATAGCACACGACGAGAAGTGGACTCAAACATTATGCAGTCCTTGAAASTAATTTCTATCTTTTTTATTGAAATCATTCTTCCTGTTACAAACAAAAAATGTTATCAAAAATTTGTAATTGAAAAATGCCTATTACATGGCTGCTTTCTTCTCTACTGAAAATGGTTTTTCTACAGGAAGAGAACCACAATCAGCAATGGTAACATCTTTGGTTGGTTTATCGTTAGCACCAGTTTGGGTTTTCTCGATCTTACGCACAACATCCTGGAAAGAAAAAAAGTACAGTGTAATGTAATGCATCAGAAGATAGCAGGCTTTTTGACTATAACAAAGATGATGTCTTGAGTAGCGGCATGTAAAGAGATAAAGGCTAAATCTTTTATATGAAATTCCATGTAAAATCTTCAGATAAATGAGCAAGATGGAGAGGATATAATAATGTTTAGATTCAACTACTTACATGTTACTATTGGGGTTCCTCAAGGTTCCTCTGGGGTTCCTGAAAAGACTGGGATTSATCTTCCAGTCTCCCCCTTTCTTTCTTACAAAGGAACCCCAAAAGTAAAAAAGGAGTAGTCTGTGGTGSATTCTAATAACTTACCATTCCAGAAAGAACTTTTCCAAAAACAACATGTCTTCCATCAAGCCATGGAGTCTTCACTGTGGTGATRAAGAACTGTGATCCATTAGTGTCYTKTCCAGCATTAGCCATACTCAGCCATCCAGCACCATAATGGCTGAGCTTAAAGTTCTCATCTGGAAATCTGTCACCATAGACACTTTTACCTGGAAAATGTGACAAGTAAAGTAAATACTTATTTCTGTTTATRATATAAAACGAATGTGATTATTTAGGGTTTGTTTAGGATTTGCATATTTCATAAACTATTATAATTTATTATGATTTATCATAATTTATKATAATTACCTCCAGTTCCATCTCCATTGGTGAAGTCACCACCTGAAAGGTTGACAYATGTTTAGTACTGATTAGTATCACAATGCTGTACTATTAGCACCACAAAATGAAAGCCACAAGGTGGTGCCTTATCTTAATCATCACATATGAACTCCAATAATAATCATATGATAAAAAATACGATCCTCTAGGGTGTGTGCACTGGGTGCTGTCCCCTTACTCTCCAAAAACAGTTTTGCAAAATTACCGAATAAAATGCAAACAATTTCTGGAAAGTTCAATTGTACATAGAAAATTGTGTGGATATATTGTGATGTGATCTTAGTGACAAAAAAGTATGGAACTTTTTGCAGTTTAAACCAAAGCAGGCAACATGTTTCCTGAAGCCCTCAAATAAACAAGAGTGTCGAGTTATATCACAATTATGACCTTTTTCGCCAACAAAAATTATTTTCCTGACATTGCAAAAAGATAAACAAGTTTGAAGWGGTCAATTTTTGAGGTTGTTGCCCGATTCTGCCTTGTCTTGTTGCAAAACCATAAGCTCCTCATGCAACTTTCTTTTTAACGTACCTTGGATCATGAAATCTTGAATAACTCTGTGGAATTTACTTCCTTTGTAGCCAAATCCTTTCTACGATAATAATAATAGTGGATAATTGATATAAACTTCTACAAAATAAAAAGCTTGAAAATGTGAATGCAGCCATACTACTGGAAAAGATGCCAGAAAAAAATCTGACTTTGCATTTGGAACTCTCAAAGGGTGTGTTTGGGAAACAGCTTTTAAAGATTAAAATAAGGGAGCAAAAAAGGTTCAAAGCAGACATAGACTTGACATGGGCTTCCTGTGACGACTTATTGAAATCAAGTTGTAAAAATATTGAAAAAAAATTAATGTTTACAAAGACACCATTTTACAAATTTTAATACTCGATTTTAAGAATAAGTGATCAAATTTAAGTGCAAAATATTACATTTTCAAGTACATGGTTGTTTTTCTAACTGTATAATTAATGGACAATAAGTTACCCCACGTGCAAATATCTTTATAATGCTCTTTATTTCGACTTGATTTGCAGATCTAATTTGTCTATATCTTCTTCAAAAACTGTTTAAGTATAAAACGCTTACCTCGCCTGTTGCTAGCTCGTAAAAATTCTTAGCAGTTTTGGGAACGACTTTTCCAAATAATCCGATCTCAATACGTCCAGCTTTTTCCTTTCCGATAGTAAYATCAAAGAAGACTTTCTTCGTTACAAGGGGGTCCTTCGTGGCACAAACTGCCGCTACAAAGAGCGCAAAAACACTAAGAAATACCCAAGAATTCATGTTCCTGAAGAAGTTCGTGCAGGAGAGAATTTGAAATTGCTCCGATTTGCTTTTCAATGGCTTCCATTCATGTGATTACAGCCAATCAAATTGCAGCTCAAGGGACAATTGACATCCAATGAAACGCAGACACGCTGGAAAGTTTACAATGAAGAATAATTTCTAATGAAAGTTCTCTAAATCTGAATTCTTCATTATCTAAATTAACTTTTATTCATTGCTTTATAATCATTTGTTGATTTAACTATTGAGGTGGCTTTGAAATTGCTRGAAATGCGATCGAAATCGGAATTCCGATCTTGCGTCGAAAGGTACCGATGATCGCTCGTGACTTTGCCGGAAAGGAGTGCAACATCATCATAATAATAATTGATTAACTACCTTATATATCGATATTCTTAAAAACATTACAGGAAATTAGAAATTGTTTCTTCCAAATAATATTTCGTGAATCTTATAAAGAAATTTTCATTGATTATATTTTCGTAGTTTTACTTCCGGGAGATTCCCTACTTCCGGTTTGTTACTCGCAAGGGCAGCTGGGAGACTGGTTGAAGAAAGGGTATTTGTTGTATCCCGTTTCAAGAAGTATTTTGGCTCCTTTGTGTATGGTTTTGAGGCGTATGCTGACTGCAGGATCGATCCTGAGAATCATGAAAGCCTTAGCAATTATTGGTACTCTAGTGGGAGTAATAATATTTCTCCTGCAACCAAATGATTCCCAAGCGAAAACCAAGAAAGGTCCACTGGTGACAACTAAGGTGAGTAAGCTTATAAAAAAAACATTTTACAGTAAAAATGAGACTTACACAGACCGATTTCTCTGGGGAAAATTAAACTCTATATTCAATTCAATTGTGTGTGCATAGTTAGATTAGTGTTTGAAGGAAAATTCTGTTTTATATTTTACCAACGAAGCTTGAAAATTCACGAATGTAACAGCTGTGCATAATTGAAAAGCGAAGTTTATTAGTTAGAAACTTTTTAGGGGAAAGCCACGTGTACTTCAAGCAATGCAGATCAAATTTCATTCAAGAAAAATATAAAAACAGCATACAAAATGCGGGGAGTCAACTGAGTTGTTTATTTTTTTACTACCCCCTAATACATTTCAAGGCTCTGAACTTTTAATTATTACAAAAATGTTAATTTTTGWTTTTTGTTACAGGTATTCTTTGACATTACAATTGGTGGAGAAAAATCTGGAAGGATTGTCATTGGTCTGTTTGGAAAATCTGTCCCTAAAACGTCGAAAAACTTTGAAGCATTAGCAACTGGAGAGGTTAGTGTTGAAAGAAAGGACAAAAGGAAGGGAAATTGTGAAAGGGATTTAACAAATTTGCTAAAGCTTGTTCTAATATAAGCTTTATAGATAAAATACCTTAAGTCAGTTTATGAGATATGCTTGGAACTTTCTTGTAACAGGAAATATATTGAAGAAAAGGAGCAAAAATATAAGTATAATGCTTCTTTCCTTTCATGAGAGAAATATGCTATCATTTCTATTGCTGAAACAACTTCACTTGTACTTTATAGAAAGGGTATGGATATAAAGGTAGCATATTCCACAGAGTCATCAAAGACTTCATGATACAAGGTACGAGTAATACAAACCAACATCCCACCAATTACAATCTATTGTGTTGTAGTGATTCATCATGTCTCATATAACTTTTTCAATAACAACACCCATAGAGCTCAAAACACTAGTTGTATCTTATCTCTACATAATTTATTATATTCATTGCTTTTCACATTCCAAARTTTGTTTGAAATTATTCCTAACAGCTGTTTGTTTGCCAAAACTTTACRCATCAATGAAATTTTTMAGTTGTTAATACTCATATTGTATATATTYAATTTTTAATTTGTTCTTATGTTCATATCTCAGGAGGTGACTTTGTAAATGCTGATGGAACAGGAGGTAACTGCAAATCACTGTACACCTATTTCAAAATACATTGTTTAGAGAACCGCAACAGTTGTCAAATGTAGATTGTATGAACAAAGGGACTATGGTTATGCTGTTAAAATTTCAATTGTTGTACAAAACCTTGGCATGCTTAGATACAAAATCTGCTCCAATCCTACATAAATAGTGTTCCCATGATGTACTTGCTAATATAGAGATTCTATTTACAGGGAGGAGTATTTATGGTGATAGATTTGATGACGAGAACTTCAAACTGAAGCACTATGGTCCAGGTTATCTGAGTATGGCTAATGCTGGAAAGGACACTAATGGATCACAGTTCTTCATCACTACTGTTAAAACACCCTGGCTGGATGGCAAACATGTAGTGTTTGGCAAGATTTTAGAAGGAATGGTAAGTTTTTCCAGGCACCATTTATGCATTAATGTTTGTTTTCAAATTTGCTAGTTCATTACATCAAATTAAATTATATCAGATTAATGTTATATGTTTGAAGAGTTTCAAAATTAAGAAAAACACAAATCAAATGCAAAGTTTGTTCTGCAACACTACGACAACATCAACACTACATCAACATCATCTGACCTGGAATCCACACCTTATTCATGTAACCCTGACATAATCATCACTGACTATATATCATTATCATCATTGTAATTACGAATAGTGCTAAATAAAGAATTGAATGGAATGGAATGGAATGGAATGGAAAACCTTTGGGTGCCCCCCACAGCAGCTTTGGTCTGCTGGACTCCATTAATCAATTAGAATTTAATAAATTATTATCAATGCTTGATTAATATTTGATAGTCTTTTCAGTTGATACTAATTTGATTTTTTCTTGCTGTAGGATGTTGTTAGAAAGATAGAGAATACAGAAGTTAAGGGTAGCACGCCGGTGAAAGATTGTATGATTGCAGACAGTGGAACTCTTCCTCTTGATAAACCATTCAATGTTGAAAAAGAAAGCCAGTCATAGTTGCAAACATTGTACTATGTTTAGGAATGGAATTCATTTTAGACAACAATGCAGCTGTCAGACCTTTTTTATGTGTATAATATTTAGGCCTTCTGTGAAGCTGGCTGAAGCAGAAGTTGAAAAAAAAAAAACATTTATGATAATATTTCTATGTAGAATAGATAACCACAGTTCCTGCAACGTCTTGCTTTTTTATTGGTTTTACGCTAATTGAAAATATGAAATTTGAAGAAAAACATTTGAAAATTTCATCAATATGTGAACCTCAGATGTAGGTAAGACTCTTCCCTTAAACTTGAAAAAACTGCAAATATCAAATATCAGTGTAGGTTTCTGTTTACTTTGAGTACTAGAACTTTGATTTAATACCTTATCTGAGTTCATTACGAATTAAGTGCTTATAGGTAGTAAATCCAAGCCCTTGTACCTAGTATAACTTTTATTATATCATTATGTAGTGCAATACAAAACCATGGCCTCTATGAGTTGGGTTACCTGTGGTGTTTTTTTATTTCTTTTCAGTTTTCCATTGGAACTCATGACTTTTGTCWGTAAAGTGTAAAGATTTTTGCTAATAGGATAGAACTTGCTTTATAAAAAAACATTTTGTTTGTATTTATTCATTTTATTGCAATTATAGGTGAATTGGGGAAGGGGAGGGTAGTTTGTAGGATTTTTAATGGGGTCTTCGTTTTGGACAAAGGGGAAGGGGAGGGTAGTTTGTGTTTATTTAAC